GCCATTAACAAATGCTGTGTGCTTATCCAGAGGAAGTCTGCACTGCACAAGAAAGGTCTGAAGAGGCACCAATGAAAATAGAAGTTCTACTAAGATGTCAGCAATGGATAGATTTCTAAATACATTGTATTTCGTTCGTGGTGATTTGCTTCTTGGGCTTGAACTTGGGAGTCCTAACTTTGCATGCAGTGAGAGCAGTAATTCGTATCCTGGTTTAGTGACTAAGTGACCAAGTCTAGGCACCTTTACTCTTCTTTCCATAGTGGTGGAATGCTGTAAGCACAGGACTAAACGGGACTGCTCAGTCATCATGCCTAATCTTAACACCTCTACTTAACTGCTTTTATAAACTTCAACTTTAAAATAGTTCAGTTGTTCCTCCTTTCATTTTCAGGATGCTCTAGAATAGTCTAGGGATGAAAAGGTAGTTTCTAGTAAAGTTTGTTCATGATCACTTCATGTCCATTTGCTCTTGTGTTACTGTCCTTAAAATCAGAATTATTTTATCTCCTTTGTGGTAATCCCTGTGATATTTTTATTGAAAGCAAATCTATTTTATTTTCATCAGGATTTTGCAAGACTAGAAAAGTTATGCCTTCATCTTATTTCAGTTCATAAGATGTGCAATCTGTTCCTTCATGCTGATAACCTTTTTTGCAGTTATTCTCTTAATCTGTCTTTGAGGGTGATCAGAACTCTAAATTATATTGTATGTGAAGGCTCACTAGTGCCTGATTGCATGACATTGGTACCTTTCTGTTTTTACTGAAAAAAGTCTATTTAAACTTTTTCCATTTTTTTATGGTCACCTCATTTTGGGTTTATTTCACAATGCACAAGGGTAAACTTTCTACCTCTCGCTTTTGATTTCCAACTGAAGAGCTCTTAATTTAAACACAAGTAGTTATTATAGTCCGTAAATTACTGTTATAGTCCTCAAACTTTAATAGGAATCTTTTTCCAACCTGATAGTAGGTTTTATCAAAAAAACCAAACTTAACCACATTGCAAGTTTCATACAAATTCTTCATCTTTTAGCTAAACTTACGATTTCTTACATTGTGTAATAAATTACCAGTGTCCATGCAGATAACATTTACTACATTTATTGCATGATCTGGCAAGTTTCTATTTAACCATAGTGGGAAATGCGTTTTTCATACATGCGTGATGAGGAGGAGTATTTTTGAGCAGGAGAAAACAAGCCACTAAATAGTTGCAGCAAACAGAATTTAACTACTGACTGCTCACTGAACTAGATGCTAACCTACACTTAAAAATGCTGGAACAACTGACTGACCGACCAGTGTTTTTATCTTGAGGCCTGAAAAGAAAAAAGGAAACAAAACAAAACAAGCAAGCTTCAAACATCATACTCTGCTGAGCTGGAGAAAAGAATTATTTGCCTGTCTATCTATAAAGCTGCTAAATTCCTTCTCCAGGCTTCAGTTATCCAATTTTGTTTTCTGTAACAATTGCAAGTGGCTGCATGTGGTTAATATTAAAGGGATTGCCATACTATAGACCTCATCAGATAACAAATCTAATTTCTGAGACTGGCTTTTTAAACTTGTTTTCATCTTCATGTTCTTTTTCTCAGAAGTGTGTGAGAAATAGCGAATAAATGCGAGAATGAGAGGATGACTGCTTCCAGTTGTACACTTGTAACAAAGTATAGGCTCAAATTTGTAGTTTTTAGTAAGGCTTCCCATGTAGTGGACTGGACTGATACATTTCACTGTGAAAATGAAGTAAAGTAGACAGAACCACAGCACTTCAATAGCAGTTCTTTCATTGTGATTTGATCATGGGGTTCACTTCTCTGCCAAGCCATCACTCCTGTGAGTACTGTCATAAAAGGGCTACTTTGAGCTATTGTGAAACTGAAGCTGTTTTTGTACTGAAGGTGCCTTAGAGTTGGTTAGTTTGTTTGTTTTGTAGAGTGTAGGAATACTACTTACCACTTGAAACAAAAGTGCTTTGAGGAAGTGTTGTTGATCTCTGATATTAACTGATGTTAATTTTGGACATCAGAAAAGATAAATAAAATCTGTGGATAAAATCAGTCCAACAAAACTCTTAAAAACTTTATCTTTTCCATACGAATGTCGCATTTGTTTACTGTTATTGTTGGAAGACTGTATGCTATGTTTGTCTGACTCTTATCATTTCTTTCAGCTTTCAGACGGAGGAGACACAAAAAGAGAAGAGCAGAAGAAACCAAACAATAGCACCGAATGCAGCGAACTAGGAATAATGGATCTGAAATTCACTTCATCAAGAAAATACATTTCCATCAGTGTACCTTCCAAAACTCAAACTATGTCTCCTCATATCAAATCAGTAGATGATGTGGTAGTTCTTGGCATGAATCTCAGCAAATTTAACAAACCTACTCAATTTTTCATCTGTGTTTCTGGAGTTTTTATGTTTTTTCTAATCTATGGATATTTGCAGGTAAATGCTGTGAACTTGTGTGTTAGGCCAATTCCTCCTACCCCTTTTCTTTATCAATAGCGTAATAATATAAGTATTTAATTATGTATAGACATTTTAGATAGATGTTGATTGCAAAGTCAAGCTTTCAGAATTCAAGAGCAGTGATTGTATAATGTGGGATTCCGTTATAATTCACGTGCCTACAAGGTTTGGTTCTGTTGGACTTTGATAACTTGATCTTTTAATTCTGTGTGCAAGATATACCTTTCAATATTGTTTTGAACGTGTATTTCTAAAAAATGCAATTTCATAGTCTTCTGAAGACAAACAGATTGTGGAATCGTACAGACTGACACATAAGTCTTCATTGGTGTTGAAACCTTCAGATCTCTTTGAGTTCTGTGGGTGCCATGCAGCAACAGTAGTCTGTTATTCTCTCTGCTCTCCTTTCAGGACAGAGCTGAAACATTGGTTGTTAAACAGAAGCAAAATGCTTATGTCATTTTAATTAAACATTTCCTTTCCTGCTAACCTGTTCTTCTATCTTGAGCAGCTACATTTCTGTTCCTTTTGTAGTTTTTAAAGTTCAATGAGTCTTCTCAACAGAGCAATCATTTAAGAAGTTGATGATTAAAAATTAGCGTGTTTCAAATGCAGTTTTCAAAAACAGCTGAGAAGTTTGCAGAAGTAAAGTTACTTCCAAAGAGTTAGACAAAGTTATCGGTAATTTTTTTAAATTGAAAGCAGAATCTCAAGAAGGAAAACATTAGGTAGCCTTTTGCTTCTATAACTGATACAACTAAATAATTATTTATGCAGTGCACGTATTTTTCCATAGGAAATTCCTCTGTTTTTAAATGTTCCTACAGCCTGCAAATGTGTAAGCTTACCAGCGCTATTTAATTTAGACTCTCAAAATATTAGGTGGTTATTACCAGTAAACATGTCTGTTAGAGAAAGCTTGTATTTATTGTATGTATTTTTTTGTATGTATTGCATTGTTATTTATTGTGAGCTATTTATAAATTTTGGCTAAAACCAGTTTATTTAAGTAAATGAACTGAATACCAATTGAAAAGTGGACAGGAGACCATCTATAAATTGACATAAATATTAATGGATCAAATGTATTCCCCTGATGAATCAATCCATTAATCTTCAGGGGATTTACACCAGCAGTAAATTTTCTCATTGCGTTTTGGAGCACCTAAATTGTCTTTTTCAATACTTTGCAAGTTACATGTGGCTGGTAAATTCTGGTTAATAACCAGCAGCTGCAAAGGCTAGATTTGCATGTACATGAAGAAAAAAATGTGTTGATTTTGTTCTGAGTTAATATTTTGATGCATCTATGTGACCGTGGTTTTGTTTTTATAGGAATTGATATTTTCTGTGGAAGGTTTTAAACCATTTGGTTGGTACCTCACTTTAGTGCAATTTGGATTTTATTCCATTTTTGGACTAATAGAATTACAGTTGATTCAGGACAAAAGGAGAAGGTATGTGTTTTTCCAAGCATTTTACCCACTATCCATCAAATTAAAAGCATTTTTATATTTATGGTAAATTTTACTTCTCTTGTTTGAGTGTGAATACTAGAAGGCAACCTTGGCTGAGTTTTGCATGTACTGATTGTTATGTAATAGATTTCTTTTATAGCCAAACAATGTCACTTTGAGTTTTTATATTTTTTTTTTAATTTTAAACACATGACAGCTTATATTTCAAGTTATCTGACTTTTTGAGGTGCATCAAGAATATTTCATAGTTACCTTTTGGGTGTTGTATAACTAGTTTTTAGGTTTTGAGTACCAAATAATTTCTAATGCTTTCAGAGCATGACTCTGTAAGTAAATTAAGTTGGAAATGTAGATCTTAAGTATTTTACATTTTATATTCTATAACCTAGGCATCTTCTAGTAGACACTGAAAAAAATCTATTTCCTCATTTTCATGTTGAATTCTCTGTTTCTTAAATTTTAAATTTTTCTTGCATGCCTCAGAGCATGCCTACATCACAATGAGTTATGGATAAGACAGGGTTACAGCAAGACATCTCCTTATGTTGCTTAATGTGGCTCTGTGTACACATAAAAATAGCTGAACATATGCACAGCAATAACTGTAGAAAAATCACAAAGTGAACACAGCAGTTGCTAAAAATTACTGTTGGATCATCTGTTGTCAGGTGATAATTTCATCAAATTGCAAACAGTACATCTGAAAATGTTCGATGAGCCCCTCCATTCCTGATATCTGAATCACTTCTCACTTAGTTCTGTTGAGTTTTATAAAACAATGGTACTTTTTTCAAATTTCTTCATTCTAAAAATGTTAATGTTCATGTGAAAACTTCACAAAAAAAATTGACACAGTGTTCATGACAGGACTAAGATTCAAAATATCTTAGTATACCAACTTTCTGTGTTTCCTTTCACAAATAACCTTTCTCTTGATTCTTCTGGAAATAATACACCTTCTCAGAAGGAACTTAAAGAATTACTGCTTGAATACTTCATGAGCCATGAAGTTTCTATTGTCTTGTATTTGAATGCTGTTTGTTAGCAGTAATTGAGAGAAATGAAATTTGAAATCACTTCTTTGTGTGTTTGTAAATTTCTATAATGGAATGAAATTCATTGAGAAAGATGGTCAAGTTGTATTACAAATATCTTTATCTTTATCTAAATTTATCTAAATTTTCCAGGCTAAATCCCCTCTAGATGAGTCTGTAATACCAAGATTCGTGTGTTTGTATTTTGTAGAATTCCTGGCAAAACCTACATGATAATAGCATTTTTAACAGTGGGAACTATGGGTTTGTCAAATACCTCTTTAGGATATCTGAATTACCCTACTCAAGTCATCTTCAAGTGCTGTAAGCTGATTCCAGTTATGATAGGCGGGGTTTTTATACAAGGTAAGTGTTAGTCTTGCTATTAGATGATTTTTTGTTTTTTCTTTGGGAGGCAGTCATGTGTGGAATCTTGTACTTTGTTAGATTCCACTGAGGTCCTTGGATAGAGAAGGACAGGTAGCATTTTTCCTATAGGAGGGAAAAAAAGGTGATTTCTGATGCATCTTCACAGAAAATGTACAAATACAATTACATAAACAGAAAATGTTGGACAAAAGAATTTGTACTGGTCACTTGCAAAGCTTCATTTTTATGCAGGCTTTTTAAATTTTTAAGTAAAGTAACTGTGTTTTGTAAACCAAAACACTTCATAAATTAAGCATGTTCAATACTGAAATGGAAAACTTGAAATGGAAAAAAAAAATTGAAATCCAGCCATGACTTGTGAAGAAATCCCTTACTTTTCTTTGAAAAGCTTGATTGCTTAATTTCTAATTAAAATTCCTAAATACTGCTTTAAAATTTAATCAGAAATGCACCTGATTTTACATATCTTTGGCTTGTCTTACAATCATAGTCCATATTCCAAGAACAGAAAAAGAGATCTGGAAAACAACAGATGAAGACTATAGTTGTGTCAATAAACATATTTCAGTATTTCTGGATTTCGAAGACTTAAGTATACTATAGAATTGTGTATTTGTTCAGTACACAAGGATTCATTAAGGCAGTAAAGCTCAGCATGAGCAAGTGTTATGGAACAGAATCTGGAATTATTATTTCTGCTTCTGTAGTTAATTTTGGCCTTCTAGTTGCAGTAGAAAACTGAATTTTCAGAGGAGGTTACAAGTTCACATATGCAATTGCATGCACAGTATTTACCATTTATTAGCATTCATTTTGTATCATTTTAATGCAGAGAGACTGGTGTTCCCTTAAAGCTTTGTGAAACTTTACATTGTGTTGTAGTAGTAGTATATTCTCAGAAGCTGTGATTTGATTTAATTTAATTTAATTATCATTTTAAAAAAATTTCAGTTAAAATTTTTGGTTCAAAAAGGTTCTCTTGGATGCTTATATTGAAAGTACAGCTTCTGAGAAAGGAATATGTTCTTTCAAACAAGATGTATTAAGTCCAGCCTTCTAATTTCCTTGCTCTTTTTCTTTCTTTACCCGGCTCCACGTCCCTTCTCTCCCAGACTAAAAGACAATGTAGAGTTCTAAAAGTACCTGAATGATTTCATAGTGTTTGGGAACAGCTTCTCTCTAACTAGTAAAGCCAGCCAAAATGTCTTGCATGAGGTAAAAATCGTAAGATGATGTCTAAGCTGACCTGAAGTTGCTGAGATTGTGCTTTTTCAGGGAGGATGTCCTTTATGTCATTAGGAGGAAAACTAAAACTGTCTACAAAAGTCAGGTATTATCTGTAAAGATCCTCCTCTGTGTTAGGAACTGCTGTTGTAGAAGAAACTAATTCCAGTCACGAAAGGCCAGAGCATTAAGTCTTCTGTTTAAGTAAAAGACATTGGAACAGTTTTTCCTTTGCCTTCTAGTCTGGTAGCCAGGATAAACATGACATTCTGAGAGTGCTAACAGTCCATTCATGTTGTTTGTATTGCTTTTATAGGAAAACGTTATAATATTGCAGATGTGTCTGCTGCCCTATGTATGAGTCTTGGATTAATATGGTTTACTTTAGCTGACAGCACAGTTGCGCCAAACTTCAACTTGACAGGTAAAGATACATGATATTTTAAAGTTTAACAAAATGCTTGGGTTTTTTCCTACAATAAGCATGTCATAGAAGTTCTGAGATTTCTTGGTGGAGTGCCTTCAGGTATCATATGGAAAATGTAGATTTCATTGTAGCTTTGCACTAGTAGAACTGTATCTGTGGCAGAAGAGGCCTTTATTCTAAGTGTTAGGTCTTAGATTCTTAAGATTTCTGGAAATGCCGCCCTTTAGATTGAAATGTCTCTGCTTGTTCTCAAGAAATACTTATTTCCCAGTAACTATGTTAAAATAAATGTGAGAAAATTAAGTTTGACCTTTTTAAAACTTCAGAAGATTTATTATATTTTCTAGTTAAATCCTTTAGTCTTTTCTGTATTTCAGAACTATGTATATTAAATGACAATCTCACTCAGATTTGCTGTAGTTGTTAGTTGGAGTGCCCACGTTCTAACTTTAATGTACTGTGTAAAATCAGAAGCAAAGAAAACCTGCTTGGGTTTAGAAACTTAGTTGAATTTCCCAAATGACAAGGGAGAATTGGTTATTCATGTTATTTACTTGGCCAGTGTTTGGATTAATACTGAACCTTGAAAAGCTTTTCCATGTTCAACCTTTAGTATATTCTTTTGAAATTCTAAGATTAGTTACAACTGTTATGACAGACGTTTAGTGTGAAACCTTTATCCCTTAATAGTGGAGGCACTGATTTAGAAGTTTTATTCCTAAAAATAATAATAAATTATTGGTTTTAAGGAAATGACTTCTTGTCCTCAAAAAGTATTATTTCATCTAGTGTTAGTAATGATCAATTTGTGATGTTGTATCTTTTGCTTGCTCGTAAATTAATTCTCATGCCTTTCAGTGTAATTTCAGTGCTATAGGTAATGGAAGAAATTACAAAAATATGTGAATTCTGTAACCTGCTGTGCATTTAGTGTGTTTATGTGTGGTGTAACTGGGTGGCTACTTGAAAAAAAAACATTTTAAGTACACTATGACGGTGGTATGCATCTAATTATATTCTAGTGTTTCTGACTTATCTTTACAGCTATTTTTTACCAGCCTCTAAGTCCATTCACATGTTAATATATTGAATTTAATATATTTGAATTGTTTTAAATATGTGCTATGACTTAATTCTGAAAAGGTTTGGAAAGTTGATTCTTCAACTGAGTGGGATAGGGTAAAGTGCAGCCAATGTAGCAAAGTCCTGACACCCTCAACGATCTACAGGACATGAGATTAAAAACTTTAAATGTGTTCAAAGAATAATGTCTTTCATTATTAATTTATTTTGAACACTTCAAACAATCTGTATATATTGAAGCTTGGAGCATTACCATTTGGAAGAAGTTAGTTCTGTGAAAATAGGCACTATAGAACTGGAATTCAGAAGTCTGTATCTTCACTTAAGAAGTCAATTCAAAATTCTCCTTCTTACCTTCTGTGAAGGTTCTTCCTGTATTTCTTCATTCCCTCTTGCCTGTTCTGTTTTATTCACATGTTGCTTAATTTAACCAGAAAAAATTTCACATTATGGAATGGTGAAGTTTTTCTTTACATGAATGAGTTACGATGATAGATGGTCCTTTCCTTCAAGAAATGTACTGACTTTTGGTATTGCAGAAATATGTAGCTGCAGAACTGTAAAACCAGTGATAACAATTATTAAAATCTTGGCTCACTCTGCAAAATGGCACGTTCTTTTGAATACGTCTCTTGATGTAAATCACAGAATGAGAGCTGAAAGCGGAGAGGCAGAAATTAATTTTGTATCTTCATAGAGTATCTTCAAAGAAGTAACGAAGTATTTAAGGATATGGAAACTTTCAGAAACATAAGCTGCAAATTAAATGTTAAACTTCAGAATTACTGTTTTCTAAAGTTGCGGTTTTATGTTACTGCCTACTTATTTGCCCTGTAAATTCCCGAGTTCATTACAATGATTTATGCACATTTAGGTAGAACTGTTTCCATGCAAACTAATGTGATTCTAGCATGATTTCTTAGAATTTCTACTGACTTGTTGAGAAAAAAACTGTTTACATGTAACAGTTTTAGGAGAGCAAAACTATGCTGTGAAGTTAAAGAAAAGACATACTCTTTGTTGACTGATGCAAATACTAAAGATGGAGCATGAGCAGATGTAAAATATTACCTGGATGAACAATTTTGCAAGTCCTTTCCCCTCTCCCCCAAATCCTTGCCACTAAAATCTAATCTTAGTATTGCTGGGCTAAAAAAGGAATCTACACAGATTTTGTTTACACATGAAAGAGGTCAGCCAAGAAAACAGAAACTCTTCTGCCAGAACAGATACATATTTGTAACTAAGGAAGAGGTACACTTTTCACAATGGAGTTGGTGCTGTGAGCTCAAAGCATCTGCTAGCATTACGGAATTGGAGAAGTAGAGGTAGATATCCTAAATAGCCATAAATAATAGGTACACTACTTCCAAAAGAGAAACCAGTAGAGAAGGGTGTGCAGATGGAGACAGCCTTGAAACATTAGTCCTATGGGAACTTCCACTGTTCTGGCATTACAGTTGTAAGTGGAAATTAACTATTTTCAGTGAAGACACAGTAAAATTACCCATTGTGTGCAAATTCCTCCATCCTACACTGTTTGAACCGGTGCAGTTTAGCCTTTTGCAGACTGAGATGTTTTGTCCTTAACATCACTGTTTTTGAGATGATATTCCTTGGTTAGCTTCCTCTACTGCATATTCCAATCTTATGTATGACAGACATCTAAAATGTGGAGTATTAAAGAGGTCTTAATGGGCAGCTAAACTCCAAACAACTTGTCTTAACACATTTGCATCGTGGGGATTGCAAGGGTGAGAATGTATCATTGAGGAACTTATGTAAATATCTAATATCTTATAAATGAAGAAGCAGTGTTAATATTTTAATGACTTCAAGCATCACACTGATAGTGTAAAATACAATATAACGTAGTGTTTCAATCAAGTCTGTTGGTGCAAGACCTCGAGGTTTAATTTCTTTCAGAACTAATTTAGGACTGGTTCTTCCAATTACTTTTACTCGTGCTCTGAATACTACATAACATTACTGCTCTCATTCATGGGTTTGCTGCTGGTGCTGCTTGGCAGGTGCAGTGCTATCATGAGTGGAACAACTCTTCATACTCCAAACTGTGTATGTGTGTAATTTTAACATGTGTCTTGCCCTTGCATTTCTCCTTTCCACGCACACTTGCGCTTCAGATTCCAGGTAACGTTTTCATCTGCATGCACTACTGAAGCCATGCATTTGTCCAGTGATGTTCTGGGCCATTAAGTGCTCCTGGAACCAGCGCATTAGAGAGCACAGATGAACACACATTCAGTCACTTTATAAAAGTGATCTGTAGCAGGGCCATTGCTGAGCTGGAGGTGTTATTACACCTTTGGACCAGAGCTGAATCCATGTAGTTAATACCTCTATACTGTCATCTTTAACATAACCAATATTATTCAGGCTATCATGTCATTTTCACTGACTCATACCTTTTCCAATGCCTGATAACTTTGAATAACTTTTTTTCTGTTGCTTCAGCTGCCTAAGTCTAGCCTGGGAAAGGAAATGGGTCCCAAACTGAAAACTCTGGTTTGTAAGTTCCCATATATCCAGAATTTTGCCAAGGAGATGCCACCTTAAAATTCATTAGTCTTAAAAAAGTTAGAACTTTCAGTTCTGAAGATCCTAGGAGCTGGGATTTTTTTTCCTTGTTCAGGAGCTTATACTCCATTTCGTCCATCGGTATGCCTATTTTGAGACCTCTGATAGTAAGAATATAATACTAAGAAAATACAACACTGCTTGTTTCTCGTCTTCCACTCCTCATTGTTCCCTGATGATTATGATGTTTCAAGGAACCAACACCAGAGCAAAGAGTAAATATGATTTTGGTGGCTGATATCTTCTGCAGTGTTGTATACTTAGGAAAAGTGGGATTTCAACCTGTGTGCATCATTAATTTCTAACTCTTGCAACATTAAATACAACATTGCTACAGTCATGAAAGGATCCAAATTTGGAGGTTAGGAAATGAGTTGTGACTGACATGGATAAAGTTATTAAGTTTTGTTATTGGAACGCTGATTACATTATTGACTGTACAGTGACATTGTTGTGAATATGATAACCTAAAACCACGGGTTTTGTACCTGAACTATAATTTTTTAAAATTAATATTTCAACAATGGAAGATTTCCACTCTGAATCATCTTGCATTTGTTTTATCATTATATTTCTATTTGCCTTTGTTGGGGAAAATAATCTAGGATTAACGACTCAAAAGAGCATGTTCTCTGGTTATTTATCTTCATTAAAAATATGTGAAAAAATGCAACTGACATTCTTTCACTCTTTTTTCTATAACAACTAAAGCTGGTTCCTTTATAGCAATGTCTGGATGTTTCTGTCAAGCTTAGAGACACACAGTGCTCAAGGCTTAATTGCTGGAGGGCGTGGGGGTGGACACTGCTTTATACCAGTATAAAAACATAGTTCTACTGACATTTAGGATATGGTATAGAGGAGGGTTTATTATTATTTTTCTATTCCTGAGATTTATCTTTTTTTCAGGGTAAATACAGAGTGGTTTTCGTCACTACTCTGCTTTGCTGATCCATATTCTGAACAGGTTTTTGTTTGTTTGTCTGTTTCTTATATTAGGTGTGGTCCTAATATCCCTTGCCCTCTGCGCAGATGCAGTTATAGGAAATGTACAGGAAAAAGCTATGAAGTTGCACAATGGTTCTAATTCAGAAATGGTAAATACCAGATTTGCAATTTTAAAAGAACACATTCTATCGTAGAGAAGGCATTCAATGACAAAAGATGAAACTTAATCTGCTTGTCTCTTGCATATGTAAAGAAAGGCTCTTGGAGTTTCCTGTTAGTTTGTTTCTCTGGGGGCTTTTGGTGGTTTTTGGTTTGTTTTGTTTTTTAACCTTTGAGGGGTGCTGCTTTCTGTGCGCAACTTCAAAAGTATATTACAGCTACAGAAACAGTTATTTCTAGCAACGATTTCTTTGTCTACCCTGCAGGCCTGAATCAACTGAGTGTTTTCTGTATGATCATGCACTTAATCTCTGAAAAATATATACTATTGTTCTGGTATAAGTAAGCATGTGTTACATTGAACACGTTACTTTTTTTACTTTGCTAGACTTCCGATTCTGGAGTGTGCTAGCATTTGAGACAGCCTTTTTTTTAAGCTTTTGAAATCAGTAAAACTTTGACATTTGAAATGAGTAAATATGTGTTTTCCCGATTCAGTGAAATACATGATTTTTAAAAAGTCTTGCCTAGTAATTTTTATATACTTAATTGGAATGTGGATTATCTGTTCGTATGGTCTGATTTTTTTTTTTTCGTTTTAGACAAAACTTATGTTTGAATTTGGCATGTTTTTCTCTAAAATCAAGTACATGCAAGAAAATCTTGTTATAACACACATTATTTGGATATGCCACAGGTAAAAAATTACTGAAATTTAATTTGCGTATTTGGCATATATTTGACATATAGCTAGATAATCTAGTTTCTCATTTATGACAGTAGCTTCATAAATGGAGAAAAATTAGAAGGAATCTTCATTTATGGCTGAAAGTGATTTAAGTTGGCTTAAGAAGTTTGAGCTGCAAGTTTCTGGAAAGTGGAACAATATACATGAAAAGTGTGTATTGTATATTCTGGGTTTTTTCTAATTTTTGTACTTTCTTTTAGTATTCACTGTTGACTGCTGCCAGAGGCAGCTAGATGGACCTCACCTGGCCCAGCACGGCCTTCTGTAGCTGTAATCTCTGAAATCCAAAGCAAAGTATGATCTGTAGATGTTTTCTTGCCCTCTTTGCATCTTGCCAACAGTCATCTGACAGTTGTTAGCTGCCTTACCTGGATTGCTCCTGTTATCACCAGAACTTTGCTTTTTATTCTGTGTTAGCCTAACAAATGTTGGTTTTCATATTGTATGCTCATACTGCTTGTAGAAAATCAGTGTAGTGATTAAGGATGTAAAGGGTTTATTTGTTTGAGGCCTAGAGATTACACTCCAGGATTTTGTTCAGAGAATTCAGTGCAGAATTACAAGCAGAATTTCATTTTTCTAGACTTGAGACTATGGGTGAAAATTTAAGAGGTCTTCTGAATCAGAGATCATGTTTAATGATCAGTGATCTGGAAATAAAATTTGAACAGTAAAAGAACCTGTCATCCACAGGATTTTTGTTTCGTTGCTGAGTTTGTATCTTGCCCTGGATTAAGAAATTACGAAAAGAGAAAAGATATGTTGCAGCTGAAATAGTAACCACTGTGCTGGAAAGTTATACCTGATTTTGCCTTGTGTGTGATTCTAAGTGACTTATATCATGCTGCCTAACAAGGAACTAGCAATGTGATACTCATATGGTTGTGAAAAGTGAGGTCTTGGGGTAGTTTGGGAGAAAAGCTGGATGCAGAGGCATATGAAGAACTAGAGACTTAACTTTTTTGTGTATAAACACTGTTAAATAAGAGCTATGAAGATCAGACCATTGTTTTAATTTTAAAAGGTTGAAAGAGGTTTTGCTTTTGAAATGTATATTGATCCTCCTTTATTGTAGAGCAGTGATAAGTGTTCTGTTGTCTCATGGCATTATTAACAATTGTTAGAAGATTTATTTTTGCAAATACTTGAAGTAATGCAACAAGAAAACCTGTGTCAAATGAAGTAGTCCTGTCATTAACATTGAGTTTTGAAAGTGAAGTAAATCAGCCGGTTCTAGGTAGTAATGTGTAGAATAGTTCTGTTCATGGTCTCCCTTTTCACAAGAAAAGGCCACTAAATGTTGCCCAAGCAGCTCAATGCCTCCCACTGCATGGGAGGATGGATGGATGGATGGGCCTTCCTGCTTCTATTGTTGCTTCTACCTGGAAAAAGATAGGATGAAGATTATTTTTTTGCTTTTGTGTGAAGCTATGAGTTAAATATGGGTACAGATAAAATTGAGAGCTTTCCTGTTTGCTGAGTATGGTCTGTTCTGAGTACTGAACTAGGCCAGAGCTGGTCATATATGACAATCTCGTCTCATATAACCATAATGCAGATGTGTCGTGTACATGCACTGAAGTGACACAGAAGTGACATCAACTTATATGATGCTGCTTCTGGCAGTTCATGGTGATTATGTGCTACTCTTTGCACATTTAATGTAATATGGATCTTTACTGTGCAGGATAAGTAGCAGAAAATGAAATATATTTAGCATATTATTCAAACTATTTAATTACATAGTTGCATGGAGTTTTATTTAGGCTGTGAAATCCTGAATTTGAAGGTTTTACCACATTCAACATTGACCTCAGGATATTATTAACTGACTAGCTTACAAAAGTTTTTTTATGTAGTTGTTGGTGGGAAGAATGTCTCTTAACATTTATTACTTGCTTTTCATTGTACATCAGCTATGATAGAAATCATAGGAAAAATATCTTCAAACTCCGCAAATTCAGCTCTGAAAATGAAACATATTAATAATGCCAAACATTTGAAAGAATTTAGTTTTGGCCTTTTGTATAGTATCACCTGGTAATTATTTTCTCTTAAACTATTCTAGGTTTTGTATTCCTATTCAATAGGTTTTATGTATATTTTATTTGGATTAACATGCACTAGTGGATTAAGCCCCGCAGTAACATTTTGCTCGAAGGTAGGTGTAAAGATTTTTTTCTATGAACAACCTCGTTGAAAAACATTGCTCTGTATGGCTTAGAAAATCTCACCACTTCTTAAAAGTTTTATTTTCATCGTGTAAACTGGTTGACTTGTATAATTCATAAATTAAGCAAATTGTTACAGTCTTTCATATATAAGATAGGGTAATGTTTTAAAAAAAATAAAAAAATCAAACAACACACTACCAAAATCACAAGACCAGGTTTATGAGCTTATAATTTAATTATTATTTTTCCGTTATTTAACTAAAATTAAATAAGGATCTTTGCATGAATGCATTGTTGAACAGCTTATTATTGCTCAAGCAGTTGATTAAAGTCTGTAGTTCTATGTCATTTTGCAATACCTCAGGGTTTGTTTTACATTTTGCTAACAGGCTTTTTTTGCTGTTGTTGCAGCATCCAGTTCAGACGTACGGTTATGCATTCCTTTTCTCCCTGACTGGCTATTTTGGCATATCCTTTGTTCTAGCTTTGATTAAAATCTTTGGTGCCCTTCTGGCTGTAACAGGTATGAACAAATGACATCTTTGCTGCCTTTGGTGTAAAAAGTTAAGTAGTTCTATTTTATTGTTTAGGATAGAGCTTTTGAGAATTGTTCTCATTCTGTTTTTTTTTTTCTGTTCTTTGTGCTGTCTGTGGTTTGTGTAGCATGGATCTTCTCCAGCAGTATGTGTTTCGGAGCTTCCTGGTTCTTTGTGTGCCACAGTTTCAACCTTAAAGAGCCTGTTAAGTAATCTTGAGCTTATACCCTGTGCTATGTTTTAATGCAGAAACAGCACTGTTTTAAACAGAGGAATTACAGTGGGAAATGTATAGCAAGGCGTAAGGAAAAGACAGATATTATTTGAAACATGGAGTGAAAAATAGGAATGTTCTAGTAAGCACTATCATATTCTCTAAGCACAGAATTTCTACTGATTTCCAAAGAATGTTATTAATAGAAAAGAAGAACTCTCCTGAAGCTTCTGAATGTCCATACACTCTCAGTGGAACGCTGCTGTAGCAATGTTAAGTGTTAACACACTCCAGACTCAGTTCAGAATAAGCTCAAGTAGAACAAATACTGACTTTTTTGACAGTCTCTTCAGTTATTTTTATTAAAAAGTGAAGGGAATAAAGGGTGTGTTTCAGTTTTGGAAGACAGAATTTAGACTGAACAAAGTGTTTACTTATCAGAATACCCTTAACTGTTGGAGTAAGGGGAAGTGACCCTGCTGTTCATTTTAACAGCAGTTAATTGTAATGTTAACATTTTTCATATATTTAACAACACTGAAGGAAAACTCTGGCACTTGATCATTTTTCAGAATCTTCCTGTCCACCTGTTTTCAGACTGTCCCTAAAATTATTACTCTTCGCTATATGCAACTGCTATAAATTGTTTATCTGTAGAAAATTGTTGCTTCCAAACTTAAAATGTAACTTGAGTGTGTTTTTCAAAAATCATTTATTGCCCATCTGGCTTCTCCTCATTTATATAGTTGTCTGTCAAGAACAGTTACACGAGACTCGTTCCTTCCTTGGGTTACCTTTCGTTGAAACTACAAATACCAATCACAAGGGCTTGAGGGGGGAAAGTGTAGCAAGATGGAGTGGAACTACTTTCCACTCTTCCCTCTACCCTCAAAAGCTGGTTTCTGTCAGGTGATGCTCTACTTTATTTGCAGTAGTGGAGAGGAAAGTATAGACAGTTATTTTCTGACTTGAGGATTGCGTGCCCTGCTTTCCTATTAATTATTGCCTCTACTGCAATTCTCTTTTGCATTTGTTTTTAACAAAGTTCAATGCTGGAACTTGGCCCAGATTAGAGGGTTGGTCCATGTATTAAAATAGCTCTGTAAAAACATAAAGTCTTAATGGTGCTAAAAAATGTTTTCAAATGCTGTGGAATAGTAAACCCTTCCCAGGTTTTCTTATGCCTGACCTTGACAATCCTAACACTTGAGCCCTTTCCATCTTGCCTGTAGCAATGCGGAAATGTTTATTGTGCCTTGGAAGAACACTGGATTCATTACTGTCCCTCCCACCCACCTTCCACCCTCCCCCTTCTTGGAGGGGAGTGGGGTGAAAGAGTTTAATGAAAATTGTATTTCTATTAGCAGAATGAGAAATTATCAGACTTAATTGGGAAAAAGAAGAAAAGGCACTTAATTTAGAAGGAAATGGTTACATAAATATTTTAATTAATAACTGATTTGAAAGAACAGAAATAATCGTAATTAGAAAAACTGAAGTAAATTAACCATTTTTTAAATTATTCATCTGTAAACTGTTTTCTAATTAAAACTCAATTTTCTTTTTCATTCTCCTTTAATTTTTCATGTACTAGAAAATAATTTTATTTGATGCACATAAATTTCTTAAAATGTAAAGAAAATTGTTACTGGAAAGTTGAGATTGGGGCATATAAAGCAGTGGTGAAGGCTGTTTCTTCCACTACAAATTATGGTTTTAAGTAAATATTTGTTTGTGAGGGAGGGCTGAGGAGGTTGAAACTCGCTTTACTAGCCATAATAGCATGAACATACATCAGTAGTCATTGGTTCCTTTTGGCAGTATGTTACAGTAAGACTAATTTGGTAGCAGTTATACAAGTAAGACTTTCCAGTATGGTGTAGTAAAAAGTACTTCATGGTAAGCAAAATATTTTCTGTTCATTCAGAAGATTGTTTTCTTTAGGTGCAGACAGTTGTACTGGAGTCTTTCTTAAATGAGAAGCCTGCACTATCATATAACAACTTCTCAGGGCCTTAACCTCCATAACTAAACTCGTGCACCTGGCTGCATACTCATTTATTGATTTTGTTTCAGTTTTTGTTTGCTAGCAACGCTGTATTCTTGTTCATAGCAGATAGCATGGTAATTGTTCAAATAATCTTGGAGTTATAGTTAATTTGGGAGTAACCTAAATAGAGAGTTTACATCCGTTTTAGTAACAAGATTGGACTTTTCTTACCACCTTAATTCTTTCTAGTGATCAAGATCACACGTAGAAGAAGGTCTGGTAATGGTTTTGATGAAAACTTCCTAATGAGTAATTATTGGAGTCAGACATCCTTGGTCTCTTACGTTTGTAACAAAAATTGTATTTCTCTGCACTGTTAGGTACATTTTCCGTAACTTCAAAAGAATAACAAGATTCTGATCCCATTCCACTTAAAAATAAAGTGCAAAACACCACTGAACTGTAATAACATGTGGTGAAAATGGCAAGAGATTTGGTGTATCCAAGTAGTAATACCACTTCTTTCTGCTTTTACAGATTCGTTTCTATCAATCAGATACTTGCAAGGATTGTTTGCTGCTTTCAGATACTGTGAATGGATTAGCATGAAATTATTAAATAGCAAGTCTTGTTCTGGTAGTTTCTCTGCTGCAGATATTTGGACTGGAGCTGGTATTACTGATGCAGGGTACTGTTTCAAACAGCATATAGTTCTAGCGCCATTTTGCACTGGACTGGGACATCTGCAGTCTGTGTTTGCACTAAGGATGATCATCAGTTTAGCCAGATGCTTAAGTATGTAATAAGGTTATCTACTAATACTGAAGAATATATTATGTTCTTTTGCTGTAACTGGATTCTTAAAGAAGTGTTTGTTTTTCTCTGCAGTAACAACAGGAAGAAAAGCAATGACCATTGTGCTTTCTTTTTTGTTCTTTGCAAAGCCATTCACATTCCAGTAAGTATTTCTGGTTTTAAGTGGCTTTTTATAACTTTTGTAAAAAAATGTATTCTTGATCATGGAAATATAACCACAGTAATTAATAATATTCAGACTTTAATGCTTTCATTTAGTGTCTTCTACAAATGTTGGCAATCTGCTATGAATATTGACTGGCTTGTTGATGCTAATCATGCTAGAGAAAATAGTTTCCATTTTTCTAAAGGTCTGGAAGACAAGCTAATCCATGTGTTGACTTTTTTTTTTGTTTTTTCTTTTTTTTAAGAAAAATCTGACATGATATCTAATGCTTGTGATACTTAATAAATTCTTTGGGTACTTTCTCTGAGGAGGAAGATCTGGCTAAAGGAAGACATTTTCTCCATGACAGTATTGTTTCCCCTTTTATGAGCTTTATGAGTTCTTAGCTAAGCCTTTTAAATAACTGCAAGCTTCTATTATCTTGATTTATCAGATTGCAAGATTTTTGAGCTTGGGTTTCTTCCGTTTATTTATTTCAAGGAATCACTGACATTGAAAAATGCAGCTAAGTTGCTACATTGATCCTAATTGCTTCTGGTTTGAAAAAGTAGTATTCAATTTTATTGCGATGTCTAAACTTATTTAAGATTTAAGAAAACAGATTACAGCTAAATGCCTCAATGGAATTTACTCCAACTAAAAATCTTGAATCTTAAAATAATGGAGAGCTGAAACAAAAATGTGCTTACATTAGGAAGTATGGGCATAAAGCACTGGCTGAGAACATGGTTTGGACCAGTAACAGAGAATATAGCTCCCATCACTGTAGGAAGGAGAGACAAACTAAAAGCCCTCAGGGCTACTTTATTCATGTGAGAAAAAATAGCTACTTTTTAGTTATTATTTAACTATAAATGCACCTTAATAAGCTCTCCAGCCAGGACAGGACAAGGAAGGATGGAATGATAGTAGTAATAAAGATTCAAGAAATTTTTTTCTCAGAGTCCACTAATTTGTTAGTTGTTTTTTTATTCCTTAAACTCTTCTCTCCTTAATATAGGTCCTTTGTTTTTATTTAATCCACAAATACTGGTATGTAATTGCTACAGAGAAAGTGCTAATGGTAGCTTTTTTCCCCCCTCTTCTATCTTCCCTTCTTAGGTACGTGTGGTCAGGCTTACTGGTTGTCCTTGGTATATTTCTTAATGTTTACAGTAAGAATATGGATAAAATCAAACTGCCTTCATTGCATGGTGTATGGAAAAAAAGTGTGGAAGAAAGAAAAACAAGGACGTTGTCACAAACTGTGTAGACGGGGGTTTATGCCTTGTCTAGACTTTGACTTAATATTTTGTTGGAAAAGTTTTCAACTGATTCACTTTCCAAAGGGAACATTATTAAAACCAAAGGAGCTGAAGGTATATTGTCTGCTTCCAGACTGCTAGAAATGCACGTTTTTGCGAGCCCTTTCTTCAGAGCACTTGAATTCATCGTAAAAGGTGATGTAGGCCATAGTCAAATGGCATTATCAAGCAATGAAGGACAGCGGCTCCTGGCAAACTGCTGAGAAGCTGCACTTCGAGTGGGACATAGTAGAAGACTAATTTGGGCATTTTAATAATATTGGCCATGTGGCTAATCTGAGATTAGTGGTTCTTTGTTAATTGTCTAGGCAGGGTAATTTAAATGTAATATTGTATCAATGTTTAATGAAACATAATCAGTAACTGGTTGACCAAATTGCAATTTTAAAGGTGGAAGGTTTAGAATATGGTATGTTGTCACTCTGCTTCAGTTTAAATAAACGTTTGGGTTTTTTTAAGTTGTTGATTAGTTCATCACAGAACTTAGTATTTATTGTCATAATTGAAACTTTTATGGGAATCTTATGGTGTTACTCTTTTTGATTCTTGCTTGCAAGTAACGAAAATGAGATCAAGTTTGTGCAGTCAATACCCATGCTTTCCTTAGAAGGGAATGGGCTTTTAGGCCTAAACAAGGTGAAAACACAGAATGAAAAAGACACGATTGAAAGAGGGGTGCAAGAAGCTGTCATTTGCTTATTCAGTGGTGAACTATGAATTTTTTAGTGGCTTGCAGCCCTCCATATCACAGTGGTATAAAGAGATGTGGAAGTTCTCTGAATTAGTATCATCAAATAAAAACTCTTCATTTTCAGTATTGGAGTAAAGAATAACAGCATCAGATAATGTATTTGGAATATGTATTTTGTCAGTCTTTGTGTGATCCTGTGATGAATTTAAGAGGATTAGGGTACAGATTACCATTTTCTTTATTTAATGACAGGAGATGACAATGTACTACCAGTCTGTCTTTTTCATGATGAATTTAGGAAGGCTAAGTCCATTTATCTCTCTTACTTTCATGTTCAACTCGCTTTTGAATCACTTGCCATCTCTTTCATTTTATATATTTAACAGCACTTTAATAATACTAATCACCTTACATTTCATTGTTCTCATGTGGTCATGATTTTTTCATTGTTGTTGTGTCCCTTAGATGCATCTTGATGTGTGTTTTTTCAACTTAGACAAAAGTAAATTGGATAATAGAATTGTATAGTTACGAAGAATGTACAAAGAATTGAGATATGTCACAGGATTGCCTTCTGCCAAAAATACTAGTTTATAAAAGTATTCAGAATGTGCAAAATGTTTTTCAGACATTTAGGAAGAATTACTGTTCCAAGGAGCTTGTAATCAAAGCACAGACACAAAATGTGCCTTAAATTTTGCTTATTGAGTTGCTTTCTAGCAGATGCCACAGTAAGTGTGTTATGAAACAGAACATGGAATAACACAGACATCTTAGCATGACGGGACGAATGAGTGGAGAGCTGCTCTAACCTAGCTGCACTGTTTCCAGCACTCAAGCTACTCTGGTGTGTCAGCGAAGCCTTTCAACCCATATACACTCAGTGTTGCCACGTTAGGAGAATTTATTGTGTATGACAGTTTTGGTTTTTCAATTCCCAGTGGCTGCATGATCGACTGTATTCTGGGTAAGGTAGAGAGGTATGAATTTGATGAACAGATGCACCTTGAAGGAGAAGGATGGCCTGCCATGGCTATCCATTTTCATGTTGCAGCCAAAGTTTTATGATAATATATGAAAAAGGGTTACAATTTCCCCATAATATTTATCAACTCTTGTATTCCCTTGCATTCTTTTCACTAAATGAAGTTGCTCTTTCCAGAAATGTTATCTATCAAGCTTAAAAGAGGGACAGTTTTTGAACTCCTGAAAAGAAAGTAGTTACAGAACATTGACTGCTCTGTTCAGTAGCTTGGTAGAACTTGATAATCAGCCTTTGAGTATCGTTTTGATAATTTTTCAGTCTAAATTTTACCATCTGTAAACTCTGTTGCTAAACTGTCTTGAAATTTGGACTTGATGATCTTAAAGGTCTTTTCCAACATAAAAGATTCTATGATTCTGTGCAGAAAGTTGTAGTAAATATAATTCATTTGGCATCTGTTTTTATATAAAGAGATGAGTTGTCGCTCCCCAAGTTTCTGACTGGAATTCAAATCTAGTATGTAAGTTGGCAAACTGTTTATATAATCCAGTTTTGTCTTTATTTTCTCTCTTTGGAGAGCATAGTGTTCACAATAATTTCCCTGTTAATTTATTCTCTATTGTATACATGACTGAGTTAATGGAGCACATTTTAGGGAAAGTTTTGATTTATTTTTTTATTCATTTTTTTTCCTTAACTATAGCAAGGTATGTTTTGTTTTACAGGTGTACTTTAAAAAATGATTTTTATACACAAATTAATACTGTAGATTTAGTGTTAATAGCATAAATCATAGAGTCAGATTTTTATCTTCATAGGTGTGGGTCTAGTACTTGCTAATCTAAGTGTGTTAAAATGCACACACAAGTGAGAGTAGTTCATAAGTTTCCACCTGTCATGGTCTGTGCAGTTTTATTCTTGCATTGAGACATTAAGAAAACCTTCATTCCAGTGAATTGCTGATTGTGATTTGTTTTGTTCTGGTTTTCTTAATAAGCTTTATAGTGCATGCAAGTAAGAGAACCTTACAAACCTCCAAGTGTTCTTACTACAAAATTTTGTTTTGGGTTCTGCTGTACTGTATATGTATGTTGGTTTTGTGTTGTCTGTAAAATATGAAAAGGGCTTGTCCACAAACTAACTGTAAATTCTTTAATTTTTGTGTGAAAGCACTTACATTGGGGTGTTGGTTAACCCTTCCAAATGTTGCTGCGTTGGCAACTTTTCATTTTATACTCACTGGCTCCTGGACTCTTTACAGTAAGCATTATGAAACTACAGAAAAAAACACATTCATTCTGTCACTATAAAATTTATTATCTAAACCTAATGAGAGTCAGTTGCTTCTTATTCTTCTGCTACACAACTTTCTCTGCTCTACAGAAAAACTGTGATACAAGATTTAGTTATAATGAGATTTGAAATTCACACTAAAATTTAAGGCTGTGGAAATTCTCCATTGATGTCAGCAATCTACCTCTGAGACACCCTCTACTTCTGCCTCCTTTGGAGCACTGAGATAGCTCTATTTTCCTAAATTAGCATGCACTTGCGGTTGCTTTCACATTACATTTTTACGTTTATTTGGCACACTTGAATACCAAAGTAATTGACTCTGCAGTGGATTTCATGAGTGTTTCAGTACGTCAGTATCACCAGACTGCTAATTACTCAGACACCTATATGTGAATACAAGTGTGGAAGAACTAACCCTCTGAAACCCTGCCTAAACCTACAGTGTTTCCTGATGCTGCATTAAACTGTTTTTCTTAATCTTGTTTTACCACTCATGTGCTTTGAACTTACCAAACATTTTAACCCAAAACTTAGGCATACATCATTCCTACCTGTCCTTCTGATTTCCGTACTTTTGGCTGCTAACTCCCTTTTTAACATGCTCAGTTGCACTATGGGTTGTTTCAGGTTTCTATTTCTGCATTTAAGGGCTCACATACTATTACAGATTGGTCACATTCCATATTTTCTGATTCATATCAGTTATGACTGTCTGGATGATTCTTCTAAATCCTTTTTTTCTCCAGGAAAAAAAGTCTTACCTTTTATACTTTCTGTTACTTTTGGAAAAGTCTTGATGAGTACATGTATGAGTTAACTTTTTGACCTCATTCCATCTTCCAAGAAAATCTCTCTTCTCCCTTGCTTGCCTTTGAGAACTCAAGAAAGAGGAAATGAAATAAATTACTGCAAATGCTCTTTTTTCTTTAATAGGTGCCTTCCTTACTAACCTGGTTTGTCTTAATTGTTTCTTCTCTTTCTGCCTCCCATGCTCCTGGGCACAAACAAGGCTTCTCTTATGTTTGACCACTGTTTTTTCAGTCATAGAAACTTTCCAAGTTGTTTACAGCTCTGGAAAGATGTATAGAATTGCATGTACACTCTGGAGGGCAGGAAGTAATAAGTAAACTTCACAAGTTAAGGAAGTAATTAAATGGTTTTATACTTTTTTTTTTTTCTAGAGGGATTTTATATATGATTTAGACAATAGCTCGGAATTTGTTAGTGGAGGGTTTTTTTTTTCTTTTACATTTTAACAATTTAAAAATCTTTATATTAATTTTAATATTTAATATAAAGCTCCTCACTATTCAGATAGTTTATAGACCTTAAATTTGGTCTTGCCTATAAGGCAGAAAAATCCTATCTGCATTACACTGATGAAGCAGAGATGGTAACTTGCCCAAAGTTGCCTTAGTAAGTCTTTGGTGAGCAGGGAATAGATGTTAATACCCTCAGTTATTCTATGCCCCAAGTCCAACAGATTCCTTTTGTACCCGAAATAAAACTACCATCAAAAGCTCAGTTTTCTTTTACCCTGGTGTAAGAGATTTTAAATTGTTTCTATTCTATGTTCTTGACTAGTGTAATTTAAAGTGAAATTAAGACAACCATGGAGTTCCTGCATTTTGTTTGAAGCTTCTTTGTTTTGTGTGCATTGTTACTGTCTCGTTGATCTGTTCTGTATTCTGTGAACACTGCTATGGAAGCAAGCCAGTGAAAGTAGCAGTCATAGTAGAAACATAATACCTGTAACTTTTAGGTGACTGGTCTGAATTTAGTTCACCGTGCTACTGGTCAGAAGCTGCTGCCATTGGAAAACTTTGATGAACTGCCATAATGTGAGGGATTAAGCATAATGTTATCATGCCAGATCTGTATCTTTTTGCTGTTCACTTGTAGAGAAGCAAAGACAGTAACGCAATAAAGAACATTCATGCACAAATACTTAGCTTAGAACATAATGCTGATTTAATGCTTCTTTCCTATGCCTGCATCAATTTCTGCTTTTTTGCTGTTTTTCTTGAGGTGTGAGAGTATTGCATCTCTATACTTTTGGATATTTCAATATTTTTTCTTTGCTGGATTTCTCAGGTTTTGTTTCCTCTTCTCTTGGTCTTTTAAGTGTAAAATTTTACGTTATAATTTTCATTACACCTGTAGTACTGTGTCCAGTTCTAGGCTCCCTAGGACAAGAGAGAGATGAGTCTGCAGAAGAGAGTCCAGCTATGGGACATGAAGATGAGGAGACTAGAGCATTCTCTTCTATGAAGAAAGGCTGAGAGAACCTGAACTGTTCAGCCTGGAGAAGAACAGGCTCAGGGGGAATCCCATGAATGTGTATAAATACATGAAGAGAGGGTGCAATGAAGAGGGAGAGCCAGGCTCTTCTCAGTGGTGCCCAGTGACAGAACCAGAGGCAATGGACACAAACTGAAACACAGAAAGTTCCCTCTGCACATCAGGAAACACTTTCTTACTGT